CTCCTCACCACCCCTCAGGTACCACCCATGACCAGTTTGGGCTGAACTGGGATCACCTCAACCCCACCATGAGCTGGGACCTCTCCACCACCACTCTCCAGTTCCCACCATCACCACCAGTTTGGGCTGAACTGGGACCTCCCCAACACCACCATGACCATGACCATGACCATGATCACCATCATCATCATCATCACCCATATCCCATCATCACCAGTTTGTCCCGAACTGGGACCTCCCCACCATGACCATGACCATGACCATCCCCCATATCCCATCACCACCAGTTTATCCCGAACTGGGACCTCCCCACCACCACCACCACTACCACCATCACCATCATCACCCTCCAAGTCCCATCACCACCAGTTTGGGCTGAACTGGGACCTCCCCACCATGACCATGACCATGACCATGACCATCCCCCATATCCCATCACCACCAGTTTGGGCTGAACTGGGACCTCCCCACCACCACCATCACCATCATCACCCTCCAAGTCCCATCAGCACCAGTTTGGGTTGAACTGGGACCTCCCCACCACCATCATCACCATCATCACCCTCCAAGTCCCATCACCACCAGTTTGAGTTGAACTGGGACCTCAACACCCATCAGGTCCCACCATCACCACCAGTTTGAGCTGAACTGGGACCTCCCCACCACCACCATGACCACGACCACCACCATCCCCCATATCCCATCACCACCAGTTTATCCCAAACTGGGACCTCCCCACCACCACCATGACCATCATCACCCTCCAAGTCCCATCACCACCAGTTTGGGTTGAACTGGGACCTCAACACCCATCAGGTCCCACCATCACCACCAGTTTGGGCTGAACTGGGACCTCCCCACCACCACCATGACCATGACCACGACCATCCCCCATATCCCATCACCACCAGTTTGGGCTGAACTGGGACCTCCCCACCATGACCATGACCATGACCACGACCATCCCCCATATCCCATCACCACCAGTTTATCCCGTACTGGTTTATCCCCACCGCCACCATCATCATCACCCATGTCCCATCACCACCAGTTTGAGCTGAACTGGGACCTCCCCATCACCACCATGACCATGACCATCCCCCATATCCCATCACCACCAGTTTGGGTTGAACTGGGACCTCCCCATCACCACCATGACCATGACCATCCCCCATATCCCATCACCACCAGTTTGTCCCGAACTGGGACCTCCCCACCATGACCATGACCATGACCATCCCCCATA